TATATCTTTTGTAATATCTTTTCGTAAAATCGATCCGACTTTAATTGGGCCTTTATTGCTAACAAATTTCTGAAATTATTTTCAACCGAGATGAAATTATACTCTGACACAGAAAAAAAGAGAGATAGAAAGAATGAAAGAGAGAGAGAGAGAGAGAGAAAGTCGGCACGAGTCGGTGAATTTGCAGGAGAAATAACTCGAAAAGTAATAAAAGGGAGATTCCTATCGTCCAAGACAATTAGCGGAGCATATAAATATGACGTATTTATAGTCTGTCAGCCGTATCTTACTCGTTTTCTCGTTCTTCCTCCCTTTTTCTTCTTATATTTCTTCTTCTTCTTCTCTTTCTTCTCTCTCCTCTCTTCTCCATCTATTTCACTCCTTCTACATTTCATCTTTCTTTCATTTCAATCTCATTCTTCTCTTCGACTAAAACCCGCGCTATTATCATAATTCAAACTATTTAATTAATGTTTTCCCCTCCCACTTACCCCCTCTCCAATTCTTTACTTTCAAAACGAACAGAGATACGAAAGAGATAATACGAAAAATGAATAAATTATAATAAAAGGTATGATATAAGAATGAGATGAAAAATGTATACTGATGACGTAACATAATTTTTTGTATCAATGTTTTATCGACCATTCCTACTCCCGCCCCCCCCTCCAAATCAACAATATTATGTTGCATTATAATTTTGGATGAAATCGAAAGATGTTATAAAAACAAAACCTTCCTCCCACCCTCTCCCCATCAAAAAAATAAGAAAAACGATAAGAAATAAATTTATCTCTCATAAATGTACGATGATTGATTTTGTTCAGGGAGCAGTAAGAAAAAAAAAATGTTCAACCAAACCGTTTGGTGGAAGGAAGGAAGGAAGGAATAAAAAAAAATGTCGAGGACAAGAAATGTAGGCGAAAAAGATCGTGAGAGTAGAAAGAAGAAGATAAGAAAACGAGACATCGTAGTCATAGTCGTTTGCCACTGGTCTTGACACGATAATAACATCGACATAGTTTAGTTTTTTCATTTAACAACTTCTACTGTCGATTTTCTCTATATTATGTTACGTTACAACTTCTACTACCATCCCAGGGATCTTAAAATTCCTCTCGAGACTAATTATTGGATCCTTTTCTGGAAATACGATACAGAATCTTCGGTTTTTTTACTTTTTCACACCTTTTTTTTTCTCCGAGACCTAACAAGATAACGAGAGGATTCCTTTTTGAGAAAGACGATGAAAAAAAGGTGATGATTTTTCTAAAATATTAAACGATATGTTTCTTTTTTTTTCAGTTATTAATATTAAGATTAAATACGTTATACACAATATAATCATTATTCATTTTAATGAATTGAAATTATGTATTATTAATAATTATTATTATTATGTCTTCGAGAATTTAAGAAATCATTTATTAAAATTAACATCTATCTTAAAAATAAAGAAATGTATTTGATGTGAAAAATCAGAGATACAAAAATGATTAAATTTGCTCGTTGAAAAAATTTGTTTAAAAAAAACAACTCATTCGTACACGATTGAGAAGAAAACAAAAAATGTATTTATCGAAATTGGATAATCCAACGATCAAAGATTCGTATGGTGATTTTTCTTTGTATTTTTTTTTTGTTTTTTATAAATAGGATAAAACCTTCTAGAGGGACGATTCAATTTGTCGGCCCTTAGTGCGAGAGTATTTTCTATTGGCCCGTGGCTAACTTCACAGCGTGGCACGCAAACCACGTTCGAAAAATTAGCTCGTGACCGAATAGGATACAACACACTAGTTGGGTTGTATTAGTGATTGTGATTGTAGTGGTATAGAATAAGAAGAATAAATGAAGTTGAAAGGAAGGAAGGAAGGAAGGAAAAGAAGTACGAAGAAGAAGAAGAAGATGACGATGAAGAAGAAGAGGAAGAAGAAGAAGAAGAAAAGAGATCAAACGTGTTTCAAATGAAGCAAAATAAAATGTACGAGAAAGAGTGAGAGAGTTAGAAAGAGTTAGATAGAAAAAGAGAGAGAGGAAGGACGAAGGGCTGAGAGAAGAAGGCGGACGGTAGAAGAAAGAAAGAAGTTTTGAAAAGGGACTAACGACCGGCAGTTAACGGCGGCTCTGAAATTGCTGGTTGCCCGTTGCATCTTCCACGGCCAGGCCAGCCCGAGAATTATTAAACTGTAGTTTAGTTTAAATTAAGTTATTACTCAGAGCCCGTACGTTTTGTTTGTCCCTTTGTAACACGACTATGACCCTTCCTCCCTCTCTCTCTCTCTTCTTTATCTTTTCCTTTCTTTCTATCTTTCTCTTTTACTCTTATTCATCCCTCTATCTTCTTCTTCTTCTTCTTCTTCTTCTTCACCTTCAACTTTTCACGTTTAATCTTCCATCATTCGTTCAAATCTCTCACGACGTTTAACATTAATATTACAAATTTGTCGCAAAACTTTAATTCTCTTTTTTTTCTTATAATTCGTTTAATTTTCTTTTTTTGTGTTCAATTCATTTATTATTGGTTATTACTCTTTTTATAAAGGTTTAACTTTAACATTAATATTACAAATTTGTCTCAAAACCCTAATTCTCATTTTTTTTCTGTTCTTATAATTCGTTTAATCTTTTTCTTTTGTGATCAGCCCATTTATTATTGTTTATTACTCTTTTTAAAACGTTTAACTTACATTTAGTATATGATACGTCTCTTGTTGGTTTTCTCAAACAAAAAATTTCTGCTTCCTTCTGTGATATACGAAGACAAAAAAATGAACCCACCAAAACGATATAAACTTAACTTTTTCTTCAAAACATTATCGCTCGTTGGGAGTTCAACCATTATTTTACGATTAGAAAGACCAAATGCGAAGGGATAATATTAGGCTGTTTTAAGGGAAAAAAACATTTTCGATTCGATGTGCTTGAGTCAATAGGATAAAGAGTGGGGTGGCTGTTGGAAGAAAGGGAGAAGAGCAAAAGAGGTTAAACGAAATGTACGATCTCGTTTATGTTGTTGAAACAAAAAAAAATATAACAAAAAACCCCGGGAAATTTGAAATAAATGAGCCCGCATTATGCCATCAAGATTTGCGACGTGTTTTTTTTGTTGTTTTTTAATGAAGAAAATTAAACGAATATATTAAAAAGGAGGTTTCGCGATAAACATTCGATTTCTTATTTTCCTTTTACTTTTTGATTGGGAATATATTTATTCAATTCTTTGAAATTAAGATTAATGAATTTTACTATTAATAAATAAATAAAAAAAAAAGATGAATAATTTCTTCATCGATTATTAAACTAAAATTACTCTTGTCTAACAAAAATGATTGATCGTTCGTTTCATTTTTATTCGTCTTTTTAATTATTTCAATAAGTAAAACGAATACAAATTTCTTATAGCATTGATCTTTACAAAATTTATATTTTCATTAATTTCGATGGATTCATTTTTATCGATAATTCAAATGGGAAACTCATAAACTGTGTGTGTTTATGAAAAAAACGAGAAATCCAAGTTTTACCGATAACGTTGTTCAAATCGTTGGAAATAGAAGTTTAGAAAAAAAAAATGTAGGAAAAAGAAGAAAGAGAAAGAGAGAGAGAGAGAAAGAAAAGAAACGATACAGTTGAAAGCGGAAAGAAAAAGTATAACGGTCGTGTAGAACTCATGCACGCGACGCTGACAGCAAGCATGGCCGTTGAACTAATTATGTAAACGAGACTTTTGCAAAGCACTCGATCCCAGAAGAGTGGCAACGATTTCGACTTACCTGACATTTCTACGTGTGTAACATTAATTAGAAACGATAACGATTATATCATAATAACGATGAAGCTAACAAGTTACATCAAAGTATAATACGATTGGATGTTTACAGCTTTCAAAATTATCATTTCGAATAATTTATGTATTTACATTGTCTTTTTATGTTTCTCTTTTTTTTCAAACTCTCATGTTTGTTTTATTTCTTTCTTTCTCTCTCTCTTTTTATATACATGTAAATATAATATTATATATTATAGAAAAACACGAAGAAATATTTAGTGAAGAATCTACTATGTAAATTTAATGTAAAATAACCGATAACGCAATATTCAAGTAACAAAATGTAAAAGTAGTGCAAGTCACGCAGCCATGCGCACTCTTTTTAAGTTTACGTTTTGTTACATTATTATTCGAAAAAATTATTAGGCGATAACGTCATTGTAACAGGACACATCGAATAATTTTCCTCATTGTTTGGAATTAACTTAATAATATTAATGAACAATCATACATTGTAAATTTGAGTTAACGAAAGAAAGTTTAAACATCATTTGAAATAATTACTTATAGATACTAAACTATAATTATGACAAGAAAAATACAGGTATCATTAAAAAAAAAATAACAAAGAAGAAAATTAAGTCAAAATAAATCAAACATAAAAAAAAAATAGACACATAAGATGACCGGATCCCATAGAACAGAAGGTTCAAACCCGTTCTGGTTAAGTGGCGCTCCCTTCGAAGCATAAACACGAGAGTTAGGGGTATGAATGAGATCACGTAAAAAACAGATTTCCACCCTCCGATCGTCGTATGGGCTTTCCGCCGGGGCACGGAACGTGATTTTGGTTCGAGTTCTGAGTTAGGATAGGGAGTCGAAAAAGGGCGTTGCGGGTATAGGGACTAAGCTTATAAGCGATCCCAAGGGCTCGTCAGGAATGATCTTATGATTGACCGCGTTACGACACTCCCAATAGACCACTTTTTGATCCACCTTTCGAGAGGATATCTTTTCTTTTCTTTCATTTTTTTTGGGTCTTCCTTTCCAGGAATAAAACTATGATACTAGGCCACCGTCAAATTCTTATACACACACAGAGAGACACACACGCTGTTACGAACCGACACAGCTATCGATAAAGATGAATATTATGAGAAAAGAAGAAAAAAAATAAGAACAAACAAACAAAAATATAAAACAAATATGTTATATCAATTCGTCGTACCTTTTTTCTCATCATCCTCATCTCCGTGATCTGCATTGTGATGAAGATTATGCGCTGCCGGATGATGACCGGTAATAGTCGGTACCAAAGGATGATTTCCCAAAGCAGGATGAGGATGATGAGGATGATGATGACTGAAGTATCTGACAGCTGCCGCGGCAGCTTGATGCTGTGCTTGCATCGATTGCTGAACTTGGCTTTGGACCTGGCCCAGAACCGGATGATGAGGTGGCCATCCCGTAAGATGGAATGGGAAGACTGGTGTTGCTCTTTGAAACAATCTGGCCGGTGCCAAAAGCGAGCCGCCGGATGCTGTTGAGCCGCTACCAGGAGGCAAAGGAAAGGATAAACCGCCTCCTGGTTCCAGGACCATGTTTGGTACCAGCTCGATAATTGTTCTTCTCTCCACAGGAGAGTTCTCAATCTTTTATCATCAATGATATAATTCAAGAATTTAGATATTTCTCTCTGTTTTTGTGTGTATTATCTCTTTGAAACCTTTATAGATCACATTTTCCGATTATCCTTCGGTCCACGTATCGACGAAGCTCGTTAGATCATTTCCACGAAGCTCCGATAAGTTACAAAAATATATTTGCATAATCTTCTTTCAATGGAGATTCAATGTAACACGTTGGTAATGAAAAATAAACGACAAGAAATCACGTCTCTCAATGGTATATCGCTGTCCGTCGGATAGAATATAACTTTGTAACATACGATTTTATCGATAATTTATATAATGTTTTCATTGATTATCAAACATCGTTGAGAATAACTTTAACTATGCTAAACAGAGAAGTATAGTAACACACACGAATCGTCTCTGACAAACTTTAGATGTCATGATAAGTAATAACTGCTGATAAAAGATCGAATTTACAAAGATAACTTTTTAGCCTATACTTTGGAACTTGTCTTGATTCATAGGACTAGACGTCGATCGATCTAGGAATAAAGGATTGTGTAATATAATTAAAACAATGAATACGTTGACACTTTAGAATCCCTTTTAGTCATTCCACTGACAACACAGATTAAAAAAGGTCCTAAACGAGACCAAACAGCGAAAATCTCGTACATTGCTGTCAACACCAGAATCCTGAAGTTTCAGGACAAAGTCACTGATCACTATCTTTGTCCTTTTTTTCAAACGATAAACGTCAACGCGACACTTTGGTCCATGTTATTATAGGTGGCCCATTAAAGTAGTCCTCTTGGAAAAAAAAAAAGGAAAAAAAGAAAAAAATCCAATCCACAAAGTTTCAATGGTTCGGATTAAATAAAGGATAATAATAATAATAATAATAGTAATAAAAAAGAAGAATCGTCGGTTGATTGGAAAACACGAGACTCGGCGAATTTAGCTGGGAAAATCGTTGCTCGGTAAAGTCGAGCTGTCAGTTGTTGTGTTGAGACCCACTACGGCACGAGCCAACGGCACAGCACTATCTGCCTGGAGAGTCGAGTAAACGGAGCTCCCCTCTGTTCGCCTAACCAAAACTGGTTTGGGTTTACACCCAAGGTAGCGTGGATTGGCCGTCCCACTGTCGGCTTCGCGGATACCGCGATATCGTCTACCAATCCGAAGTGGCGGATTACTAGCTCGGCAACGCCCACGGGGAGCTTTTTTTGCCCTGGAATTGAATCGACGCCCCTTCCTTGCTCGCGCTCGACCCTTGGTGGGGACGAATCAATTGGCGGCTGCCCTGAAAGCGGCCGCAAGATGGCTCCTCCCTGCCCACACACGCGCGCGCTTCACTGAGCTACCCCTAAAAACTCATTCCCTCACCAAGTCGACCGAGTCTAGCCAAGTCACCCGATATGCCACTGAACTTACCCTCTAATTCCATCCACAAGCTGGACCCCGTGGAACCTCTATTAAATATTCCACGCTTCGGGACTCTGATTACGGACCAAGTGCGAGTTCAGCTTGGACGAATGGCTGATATTATCGAAGATCCTTGATATCCCAATGCTTTCCAAACTGTGATCCTAGGTAAAAGACGGGGAATACTACGAATGATGATCTTTCATCGATCGATTACAGTGAAGAGGCAAAAGAGATATAATAAGTCAAAATACCTTTTCATCTAATACCCACTCGAAATCTCACTCTCATCATTTCTCCTACTCCCAGTTGGTAAATTCTCATCCCACCACCCCCCTATAGCCCCTACTACTTTCTTTCTTCCTTCCTTCCTTCCTTTCTTCCATCCTTCGTTTCACTATGGGCGTATCTTCCGCCCCTCTAACCCCCGTGGGCGCGATCCTCTTTTAATAAGAGGAGAGCTCCCAGTTCGAAGGCGTTAAGTAATTACATCTATTCTCTTCTGGGGACGGAATTACCTGGGCCCACGGGGTGGGAAAAATTAGGAAATTAAAATTAACTCCCGCCACGATCCTGACTTACTCCTTCCTCCCTCCCTCTCTCTTACTCTTCCATCCCTCTTCTCCATTTCTCCCGCTTTAAATCCTCCCGTCCCTCTCTCTATTTTTCTCTCACTCTCTCCTTTCCTCTCTATTTTCCATCTTTTTCTTTCGTATTATCTCACTCCACTCGTTCTACGGAACGCTTCATTCTCAAATTTAGGAAGAGCCAGCGGCCATTACCGCTTACGTAATCTTTTTACAGTGCCGGGCAGCACCTTGTTAGCAAAGTTATTTAGCGCGTGACGACGCCGAGTTAGTCCTGATCCGAATAGCTCTACTCTCTCTCTCTCTCTCTCTTTCTCTTTCTCTCTCTAGTTGTAGCATTTATCTAAACTCTCTAAAGAAACGCGTTGACAATTATATTTCATTAAAATATATTATCTTATCAGAGTTCAATACGTTTGATCATTTTAAACGTTGCCTAATTTATACCTCCTTTTATTTCTTTCGTTTAAACGTAAATTTACGATTTCACTTTTTAAAGAATTGACAGTCGAATTTTATTTTAAATTTGGTTAGATAATTTCTAATTTAAGATATTTATTCAAATCAATTTGGACGAAAAATGTTGCTAATATAATTTTTAGTACACATAAAATTATTTAATCATTTGAATGAAATTTTTACAAATAAATAGGATATTTGTCAAAAGATTGTTCTTAACTTAAAAAAAAAAAATTATAACATAAAATTTAAATATCCACTCAAATTTCGTGTGATGGTTTTAATAAGAATTAACGTTATCATGCAAGCATTAAAATTCTTCAACCAAGATGGGTGAGGAAGAAGAGTGGGTGTTAGGAGGAGGAGCAGGAGGATCTTCTCATTCTTCCATTCGATCTGCTTAAGAAGAAAAATTTCTGAAAAAGTTCACGGGCTCGAGCTTAGACTTAGGAGGAGAAGGAGCAGCAGCTGAACGTCGTTGAAGCACGCCCCCGAGGGAAGAACTTATTCATAAGATTATTTCCCATTTTCACCATGACGCTACCGTATCGTTATTTAAGTTTTATATTAAAGCACCAAGCTCTTCTATGTAGCTTCTTGTGTGATCTATGGTCCGCGCGTGTCCTGCTTCTTTCAACGTATCCGCCTAAACATGAGAGATATCGCGCTCGATCAATTTTTCATAAAACTCCCATCCCCCACTTGCCCCCACATTCGCCACAATATCCACCACAGTATCCCGTACCCTTTTTCTCTCATCCCTACTTCAAACTAACCAACGACGGATGACGACTTTCTTACAAGATTCTTCTTTACTTTCTTAGATAGGTGTACGAACCTTCAAATTAAGGACAAACTTATACCAATCTTTTCTTAATTCGATTATATATCTTTAGAAAAATTTTAAATGGAACTGTATCATCATAATTTTTAGTAAATTTGACAAATAATAACCCTACCGCTAATTTCAATAAATCATTTCATTCTAAAATACCCTACCAGCACTAGAAATTATTATTTAAATATATCAATACCAAAAATCAAACTCCTTGTCATTGTAATAACATTAAACAATTGAAATTTAATGATTTTGATAAAAAAAAAATGAAGACAAAGCTAATGTTAGATCAAGATCGAATTTCTATCTCTATTCGGGAACATTAAATGCGATCATAGAAACGATCCTCATCGTTTGCCCTTCCATCGTATAGTAAGTATACTAAGGTATCCCTTCCACTTTCAGCTTCACCTTTTCGCGAACAGATCGCGTCTGTTTCCCTCTTTCCACCCACCCCTAGTCGATTCGTTCTCGCTCTCTCACGAATTGAATCTCACCCGTGAAACTCGAAAGGAGTTCACGGAGAAGAGGGTAGTAAGAGGTATAAGATGAAGGAGTAGCACTGGTTGCTATAGCAACTACAGAGGGTTTCCCGACGTGGTTGCCCGGGCAACCCCTAACCAAGCGATCCCCTAAATATGCGCGAGGAAGAGGAAGAGGACGATGAGAAAAGGGAAAAACAAAGGACAGAGAGAGAGAGAGAGAGAGAAAGACAAGAGTATATACGTGTGGTACTACTGAACGTGGAAGAAAATGGTGGGAAGAGGTTGGGGGAGGTGGGGTAGTAGTGGTACTCAAAAAAAAGGTGGAGAAAAAAAAGGTGGCTTGGCAACTGTTACCACGAAACGTGAGGAGACCTAGTTAATTACTAAACCGTTTTAATCGTCGGCAAAGTTCCCGACTATGCTGCACCAAACGGAGGCTGGGCCAAGGACCGGAAGGGAAGGAAAGGAAAAGGGGGCTCTGAGAAAGAGAAAGATAGAAATATATATATACAAAGTAGAAGTAAGAGAAAGAGAGGCTTCGGGGAATGTGGTGGCTGTGTAAATTAGGCACTCACCAGTCTCTTCTCTTTCTTTCTTCCCTCTCTTGTTTCTTAACTCTCTCTCTCTCTCTCTCTCTCTCTCTCTCTCTCTCTCTGTTCTTTTTTGCTCCAATTTCTCTTACCTCAGTACATATGTATTGCTCTCTCGAGTCGTCCCCGAGAACTGTCTCTTCGTGTTGAGACTTTAGATGAATAAAGTATATATATATACCTAACCTAAGTTGTGTTGAAAGTGTTCTTAAACAGACCCCGTTGATTTTCTTCAATACTTCTTTTAATTATCGATATTTTTATAAATTCGATTATTTGTCTCATTGAGAACAAAATATAAGAAGTAATAAAAAAAGAAAAGTATTGTGTAAAAATCTGAGAAACGGGAAAACAAGTTAATGGGAACTACGGTCAAAGTAAAATTTAGCAAAATGGTTGATTACATTATGAAAAAGTAAAACTGTTTAGTCGTTTAGTTGGAATCATCGTTTGGCAAATAGTATATACATATATATACGATTCAGTTGCATCTTCTTGATTTAACGTTAAGAGCCCGGACGACTAATTAAGTACGCCGTAACTTAATTGAGGTGCCTTGTATAAAGAGGTGGAGGCAAGCCGAAGATACTGGAGAAACGCTAAACTGTGTAAACATCGAGCTAATTACTTCGAGACTTTATCGCGCCACCGCGACTCTGTTTAGATTGCTCGGAGAAAGATACACGTTACTATGCTTTTGCTCTTCTCTACTAATGTAAGAGTTCCCCTATATGTATATATATGTGTAAATTTGTGCTTGAGAATGTTTTTTTCACATATACAAAGATAATTAAGAGAAATAAGAAACAGAACAAAGAGACGAAAATAAAGAAGAGAGGAAGGGGCTTAAAAAAAATAAAATAAAGTGACAAGGGAAAAAGATTAAAAAAATACATGTTATATATATATATATATATATATATATATATATATATATATATATAAAGAGAATTTCAGCAAGGATGAAAAATATTATTATTTTCAAACATATTGGTAATATCGCGTATCGAATAGAAACGACATCGATTTAATTAGCGCGTATTTTTACGAGAACTTTCTTAACCCCGACGTATTCCTAATCAACTAGCTCTTCCGTTCTTCCTCTTACCCTCCATACGCCCCTCCCCATCATTGTGTTTTTCTCTCCCTCTTCCTCCCACCTCTCCTGATAGTCACTCGATCATCTTGTAACAACATTTTTCGCCCGTTTCTCTCTTGGATGACTCGAATCACACTACTACTGGCCGGATGGCCTTTTTCTCTTCTCATAATCGAACGACGATAAAATGATGCATACGTCATAAGCGGTTAGTCCCGAGGTCGTGACCAAACACGGTATTAGAGATATATTTCAATTCATGAGTAGAAAGAGAGAGAGAATTTTTTTTTTCATTCGATATCACATTTCATTGATCCAAATTGACTAAAAAATCGATCTAGGAGAAAATATTTAGCTATTATCTCCAATAATAATAATAATAATCGTCTCGATTCAATTTGATTTATTGAAAATAAACAAAAAATGATAATGTAAAATAATTATTTTAGTATTATAAGTAAAAGACGATACGATCGATCGATTTTCTTGTGAAAAGGGAAGAAAAATCAAAAGAAAGAAAGATAGATAGATTAAAT